TGTGCCTTGCTTCCGCTGTGCAGGGGGGCGTGGGCTTCCCTGTGCAGTGGCCTGGCTTCCTGTGCAGGTGGGGCGTGGCGTTCCGCTGTGCAGGTGGGGCCTGGCTTCCGCTGTGCAGGGTGGGGCCTGGCTTCCGCTGTTGCAGGGTGGTGCCGGCTTCCGCTGTGCAGGGGGGGCGGTGGCTCCCGCTGTGCAGGGTGGGGCCTGGGCTTCCGCTGTGGCCAGCGGGTGGGGCGTGGTCACTGTGCAGGTTGGCTTCCCTGCAGGTGGCGTGGCTTCCCCATGCATGTGGGCTGGCCCCTGTGCAGGTAGGGGCGTGCTTCTCATGCAGGTGAGAGTTTCCCCATGGCAGGTGGCGTGGCCTTCCAGTAGCAAATGGGGGCGTGGTTTCCTGTGCATGTGGGGGCGTGGCTTCCCTGCAGGTGGGGGGTGTGGGCTTCATTGCAGGTGGGGAGTGGCTTTGCTGTGCACGTGGGCGCGCGTGGCTTCCTGTGCAGGTTAGGGTAGCTTCCCCATGCAGGTCTGTGGTGGCTTCCCTGGTGCAGGTGGGGGGCGTGGCTCCCTGTGCACGTGGGGGCGTGGCTTCCCCTGGTGCAAAGGAGGGCGTGGGCTTCCTCATGCATATGGGGCTGTGGGCTTCCCAATGTGCAGGGTGGGGGCGCGAGCTGCCCCAGTGTAGGTGGGGGGCGTGGCTTCCCCAGTGTAGGTGGGGGCGTGGGCTCCCCCAGTGTAGGTGGGCGGGGTGGCTTCCCCTGTGGCAAGACTGCGACGTGGCTTCCCCAGTGCATGGTGGGACCCTGGCTGTCCCCCATGGCATGTGGGCCGGTGGCTTGCTCGTGCATGTATGGGGGCGTGGTTCCCCTGGTGCAGCTGGGGCGTGGCTTCGCCCAGTGCATGTGGCCGTGGCTTCTCCATGGGGGGCGCTGGCTTCGCCCTGTGCAGCTGGGTGGCTTCCCCCATGCATGTGGGGGGTGACTCTCCGTGCATATGGGGCGTGGCTTCGCCCCGTTGCAATATGCAGGTTGGGGCGTGGCTTCCCCTGTACAGGTTGGGGGGTTGCTTCCCCTGTGCAGGTGGGCATGGCTTCCCTGTACATATGGGGGCGTGGCTTCTCCGTGCAGGTGGGGGCATTGCCTCGCTGTGCAGCTGGGCATGGCTTCCCTGCATGTGGGGGTGTGGCTTCCCATTGCAGGTGGGCGTGGCCTCCCTGTGACTGTGGGTGTGGCTTCTCCGTGCTGGGGGGCGTGGCCTCCCGTGCATGTGGGGGCGTGGCTTCCCATTGCAGGTGGGCGTGGCCTCCCTGTGACTGTGGGTGTGGCTTCTCCGTGCTGGGGGCGTGGCCTCCCGTGCATGTGGGGGCGTGGCTTCCTCATGCATGTGGGGGCGTGGCTTCCCAGTGCAGGTGGGGGCGTGGCTTCCCGGTGCATGTGGCGCTGGCCATCAGGAGGCCACCTGGCAAGTGTCTGACAACTGTCACCCCCTCTCCCAAGGAAGCCGTCAGCTTCCCCTTCCGCTGAGGACCGTGGTGTAAACACCCCCAGCCCGGCTGCTCTCCAGCCAGGACCCACACCTGGCCCTGCACCTGCGGCCCCCCAGGCCCACGTGACAGCCACTCACGGCACCCCACGACCTCAGTCCCCGGCCAGCCAGCGCAGCAGAGGCAGGGTGACATTTGAGCGTCACCCTCGCTTTTAACTTAGTGCTTTTAGGGTCACGTGCATCCGATCGAAATTCTAGCTGACACCTGCACGCCCCCACCTGCTCCCCGCCGGCCGCCCGCTGCGTGCTTGGCCTCCACCGGCCTCCACCGGCCTCCGTGCCTCCGCCGCGGCCGTTCCCGGTGGTCCCTACCGCCCCGTTCCCGTCCGGCCCCCTTGTCGCCTCGGGCCCCTGGACAGCGCGGCGTCGCCCCGCCCACACCCCGGCGACCCGTCGCCTTGTCGCCCGCTCTCCCTCGTCGTCGGGCCCAGGGTATACAGCAGGCGCCCAGTAGATGCTGTGGAGGAGATGCGTGCCGAGCCGGCGCTGCTTGCTCAGGCTCGGCCTGCCAACTCCTGACCTCCAAGCGATCCTCGCCTCGGTCCTCCCTCCCGATGTAGCGGGAACTCCTGGGGCATGCGCGCGGCTCGCCACGCCCGCTCATTTTTTGTGCTCTATATATGTTTATCTTGCGTCCGGGCTCCATGTCTTGGGTA